TACCATTCAGTAATGCATTGAATATTTCTTCCATATCTAGTTTGGTGCTCCTTCTATATATCTTGAGATTCTTGATAAAACCCAAAGAAAGGTCTCTAATGTTATCCGTCCTGATCTGGTATCTCGACTTCTGTCAATTTCCCATCCCAGTAATGTAGCGTCCCTTTGTATTTTTTTTTTTTACAAATATTTTTCGATATCAATTGTCCTAATGTTTTATTCTGATAGCTTCTTTTCTCTTTTGGTGAGTGCTCTTTCGTTTTCCGTTTTCCTACCAACTACAATCTGCAAAAATTTAAATGCAAGGTCAGTCGCCATCTTGTCATTTTTAAACCTGTTCTTTTATTGTCTTTCTTCCTCACTAAATTCTTCTCATTCTCTTTCACTTCAAGTAAACCTCTTGCGTCTTAGTGGCATTAACGCCTTGTTTGGGGTGAAATAATAATAATAATAATAAAAAGTACTTTTCCGGTTTCTGTCTTCTCTGCCACCTACAATTTTCAAAACTTTAAATTCAACTCCCGTCGCTATCGTCTGTCTTGTTGACACCTATTCTTTTATTGTTCTTCGTCCTCACTAAAGTCTTCTCATTCTCTTTCGCCCTCAGTAACTTTCTTGCGTCATAGAGGCATTAACGCCTTGCCTAGGATGAAATAGTTGAATAAAAACAAACATCGACACGCAATTAAATACATTTACACGCAGAGAAACAGATCTTTTCGAGTTCCTATGAAATCATAACATGTGCTAAATAGTAGATTCAGATCGCACGCTTACTCAGCAGACACTCGGGTTGGCTCACAAAAGACAGGAACTGGCAATCTATGTTGTGGTCGGAGTCAGGAAGTGTGATATTATGGTAGAACACAGAGCGCCATCTGCAGGATCCATAAGCAATTAATGATTATCACGGGCGATAATATTATTGCTCATTGGTGACACAGCTGGTCACGAAGTGCTCGGCTCGGAAATTCGTCTTTGCAGTGTCGAATCAATAGATGAAACAGATTGTTTGCCTAGTACTATGTAAATAAAAAAATTACTGAGATAAAAAAGAAAGCGAGAAAAGAAGAAAGGTGTGGAACTAAGTGACAGAGAAAAAAGAAACAGTATTTGAGTAATTAAGCGAAAATGAAGAAAAAAGGATCAATTAAGAGAAGATGAACGTGGAGGTAATGAAACGCATATACACAAGTATGTATATGGGCATTTTCTATTTTGCGTAGTTTAGATGTGGCACAAGCCCGAAAATATGGATGTACTCAGTGAGGATCGAGCTCACTACTCACTTGTACTTGATTTAGCAAGACAAGTTCAGTTTGATTTGGTTTGGTTTGTTTTACGGCATATCAACACCAATGGCTTATTTAATGCCGACAAAATTTTAAAATGCTGGTAATATTTTATTTTGTCAAAAATCTATTTCTCGTAATATTTTTGTTTTTCAAAAATGTGTTGCTGGCAATAATTTCTTCAAAAAAAATATTGCTGGTAATATTTTTTCCTCAAAAATGTCTAGCTCGTAATATTTTTTGTTCAAAGATTTACTGCTGGACATAATTTTTTTTACAAAGTATTTCTGGTATTAAAACCTGTTTTTACACTTTCATAGTGTTTTTACCCCAGCTTCGGGGTTAACTATTTGCCCATAGCTGGGACCCTAATAGGTGCTACCACCCCGTGTCAGGGCGGACCTGGGAACACCATCAATTAAGAGGTGGTTCCATGCTCCTCAAAATCTCCTGAACAGAGGCCTTGCTGTTGAACATATTGCATCGTCTTACCCAGGACGCGGATGTAGTTTATCTTCATACCCAGGACGGTACAAGTTTGGTAACAATTACACAAATTCGACACGCCTACACGCGTAGGTATATGTACGTGTACAGTATCTGTTTACCCCATTCTGTTCATAGCTCTCTCTCTCACACACACTCTCTCTCTCTGTATCGCTCTCTCTCTCTCTCTCTCTCTCTATATATATATATATATATATATATATATATATATATATATGTGTGTGTGTGTGTGTGTGTGTGTGTATGTATGACCGTCTGTCTGCCTTTTTACTATAAAGATTATTTTTACAGGGGTAGTGCGTACAGGCATTTGGGAAGACATCTCAGCTATTTTTTAAACAGACAATTTAATGTCAACCCGCCTAGATATGGACAGGTCTTGTAAAACAATATATTATTTCCCAACATACACATATATATATATATATATATTTGGACGAAATTCAGCATTCTTCTGTTGCAGATGTTCGTGTTATACTATAGGTGGAAAATGAGCGAAGTTAATCGTTTTAATATCAAGTTAATTAAGAAAATGAGCCCTCTGATAGGATTCGAACCTGCGTCCTCTTTTGCAGGAGGAAAAACTGTCTGCCTCGGCATACTTTGACCGCTCGGCTACGGAGAACTTCACCACGGGAGCGATCGTCTTATTTGCATTTAACGAGTGCGCGAGTAACGTGAATCAAAAGCAAATACGAATCTTGCTCGACTGTGAAGCTCTCCGTAGCCGAGTGGTCAAAGTAAGCTGGATCAGACTTTTTTTTTCTGCGATAGGAGGACGCAGCTTCGAATATTGCACGAGGGCACATCTTGATTATCATGTTTTATTGAGTTCCCAGGACGGTAGACGAAATAAAAGCTGTTTAAATAAAAACGGAGCGTAGACTCAAATACGAGCATCCATTAAAACAACACACACACACACAAATAAATATATATATATATATATATATATATATATATATATATATATATATATATTGTAATAGTCGTTTGGAAAACCTCGGATAGCTCAACTTGTAACTTGTTTTTACCCGAGGAAAAATTTGAAATAAAAAAAAAAAGAACGAAGAACATTAACACAATACGAAACCAATCGTCAAGTGCTTAAGTTCCAAGTCAAAAAAAAAAAAAAAAACGAGTATAAAGAGTAACCGTAGAGTGCTCAATACGGTAAGTAGAGCGATAAACTAGAATAATCCTAAGCAACCAGACAAATATATATAACAGTAGGTCCTCGGGTTATATCGTACCCGACGTACGGCGTTTTGTCGTTAAGGCGCCATCTTCTATAATATAATACGTCTTCACGGGGCGCTTTATGAAGAAGACGTTGTTTCTTCACGATTGTATGCCATATTCGATTGTGCTACATTCGCTGTCTCTCGTTTGTGCTTATTTTTACCCTTTATTATGGCTCTCAAGAGAAAGACAAACTCGTGGCTGCTTATGTAGGTGTACGTCGAAAATCAGCTTACGTCTTGCCGTAGGAACGGATCTCCGACATAAGTCGATGATACCCTATATATTATTATAATGCTCTTTCATGGCTGACTTTAAGGGACCGGTATTGTCGAGCACTTTTTGCTTAAAGGAATAAGCTCCTTTACTGTGGCATCATTATTTCTCATTGTTGATGACCCATTTATGGTGTTAATTTTGTTCTTATGATATTTACGGCTATTTTGTACATGACCGGCGAGTTTTCCTGATGTTACCGGAATGGATCGTAGAAAGTGCCTGAAAACGATAGCACGGGTTGACACAAGGCATGTGAGTGATATTGGATAGACGGAACTCTTGAGGGCTGTCAATAGTTGTGTTAGCACCAAGCTGCAAGTCATCGTGGCCGAGGGCTTGAGTGTGCTTGCTGAAATTGTTGATTACGCTCGATAACATGCTCTCTCCCAGAAACTGCAACTAAGGTCTTCTTAGCATAGTTGCTGTATAAACCACCAGGTGGGGGTCTGTAGTTGTTGAGCGAACATAAATTTGCCTGAAAGAGAGCCTGCAAATGGCTATTAGCAGACGGGTATCCTCGAATACGAATGGCCAACTATTATATATATATATATATATATATATATATATATATATATATATATATATATATATTTAATTCTTAATTATGTATATAGCCATGTTATAACCTCACAACAAAAAATACCATTTTAGTTTCAACACTTTTGGTGTCTTCTCAAGTGATGCTATAACATTTTTATGCTATAATTTTTTAATAAATATTTGCTCTAATCTGTGTAGAGCGCTCTTTTAAGAATAACGTTTTTGGTTATTGGAATTTTATTCCCTCAACACTAATGCTATAATTATGTGCATATATATATATATATATATATATATATATATATATATATATATATATATATATATATATATATATATATATATATATATATATATATATATATATATATATATATATATATGCATATACACATTGTGTATATTTGTAGGAGAAGATGTGGAAATATATTCATTCGTCACATGCATGTTTGTATATACATATATGTATGATATATTTATAATATTGTTTATAAATCATCAGCCAAATTTGTCAAACTTTTATATCAAAACACACGTTTTTTGTATTTAATTACATATTAGAATCAATAAATAATTGAGAATTTACAGTACAGAATAAAGACGTGGTCAGCGTTAACAAATAAATCTAAATGAAATGAAATCATTTTAAAGAAAAGAAATCTCCCAAACATTTGGGATGAAATGAAACAAGATCCATCCGATATTTAATAAACATGGCTAAATTATGGCGATTTTCTTTTTCGTTCTCTGTTTAATATCCTGTGGCATCATTTCGGCGCCGAATTATTTAATTTATTTGGTCAGAGATTAAGCGCATTCGCGCGCAGCCACGTCCAGCGTTCGGCGATGCACCTGTTCGACATTATTTTATTACGCTCATATTGGCGTCGAGTGGTCACCACATATCCACTTGTCTACAGTCAGAATTAACTCGTCTTTTCTCTTTTCTTGTCTTTAACTAAAGATGCGTTTATGTCTCTTTGTTTGTCTCTCCACCTTTTCTTTTTGACGACTTTTTAGTTGCGACTTTCTTTCTCGCATTCTGCCAATTTATTTTTCTTTTTCTAACTTTCCTTGTTTTCCTTTATTTTCTGGCATTGACTTGTTTGTTCATTTATTTCCGTTTATTCCCTAAAGTTGTTACTTTTTTTCTTTCTTTTTACTACGCCCTTTCTTTCTTTCTTTCTTTCTTTCTTTCTTTTCTTTCTTTCTTTCTTTCTTTCACAGTTCTTTTTTCTTTCTCAGCTCTTCTTTCTCTCTTTCTATTTCATTTCTTTTTCTGCTCTTTTTCCTCTCTTTCTTTCTTTCTTTCTTTCTTTCTTTCTTTCTCAGCACTTTTTTCTTTCTTTCTTTCTTTCTTTCTTTCTCAGGTCTTTTTTCTTTCTCTCTTTCTTTCTTTCTTTCTTCCTCAGCTCTTTCCTTTCTTTCTTTCTTTCTTTCTTTCTTTCTTTCTTTCTTTCTTTCTTTCTTCTTCTTTCTTTCTTTCTTTCTCAGCTATTCTTTCTCTCTTTCTTTTTCCTTTCTTTCTTTCTTTCTTTCTTTCTTTCTCAATACTTTTTCCTTTTTTTCTTTCTCTCTTTCTTTCTTTCTTTCTTCCTTTCTCAGCTCTTTTACCTTTTTTTCTTTCTCGGCTCTTTTCCTTTCTTTCTTTCTTTCTTTCTTTTCTTCTTTCTATCAATTCTTTTCCTTTCTTTTTTCCTTTTTTTTCTTTCTTTTTTTTCTTTCTTTCTTTCTTTCTCAGCTCTTTTTTCTTTCTTTCTTTCTTTCTTTCTTTCTTTCTTTCTTTCTTTCTTTTTCTTTTTTTTTTCTCTTTCTTTCTTTCTTTTTTCTTTCTTTCTTTCTCAGCTCTTCTTTCTCTCTTTCTTTTTCAGCTCTTTTTCCTTTCTTTCTTTCTTTCTTTCTCAAAACTTTTTCCTTTTTTTCTTTCTCTCTTTCTTTCTTTCTTTCTTTCTTTCCTTCTTTCTTTCTTTCTTTCTTTCTTTCTCAGCTCTTCTTTCTTTCTTTCTTTCTTTCTTTCTTTCTTTTCTTCAAGCTCTTCTTTCTTTTCTCAGCTCTTCTTTCTTTCTCAGCTGTTTTTTTTTTCTTTCTTTTTTCTTTTTTTTCAACTTTCTTTCTTTCTTTTCTTTTTTCTTTCTTTCTTTCTTTCTTTTTTTTTTTTCAGCTCTTCTTTCTTTCTTTTTTTCTTTCTCTTTTTCTTTTCTTTTTCTTTCTTTCTTTCTTTTTCACTTTTTTCTTTTTTTTTCTCTTTCTTTTCTTTTTTTTTTCTTTCTTTCTTTCTCTTCTTTCTTTCTTTCTTTCTTTTCTTTCTTTCTTTCTTTCTTTCTCTTTTTTCTTTCTTTTTCTTTCTTTCTTTCTTTTCTTTCTTTCTTTCTTTCTTTCTCAGCTCTTTTTTCTTTCTCTCTTTCTTTCTTTCTTTCTTTCTTTCTTTCTTTCTCAGCTCTTCTTTCTCTCTTTCTTTTTCAGCTCTTTTTCCTTTCTTTCTTTCTTTCTTTCTTTCTCAATACTTTTTCCTTTTTTTTTTCTCTCTTTCTTTCTTTCTTTCTTCTTTTCTTTTCTTTCTTTCTCTCAGCTGTTTTTTTTTTTTCTTTTCTCTCTTTTTCTTTTTTTCTTTCTTTCTTTCTTTCTTTTTTCTTTTTCAATACTTTTTCTTTTTTCTTTTTTCTTTCTTTTCTTTTTTCTTTCTTTCTTTTTTCTTTTTCTCAATTTTCTTTTTTTTCTCTTTTTTTTCTTTCTTTTTTCTTTCTTTCTTCCTCAGCTCTTTTCTTTTCTCTCTTTCTTTTCTTTCTTTCTTTTTTCTTTTTTCAGCTCTTCTTTCTCTCTTTCTTTTTCATTTTCTTTTTTTTCTTTTCTTTCTTTCTTTCTTTCTTTCTTTCTCAATACTTTTTCCTTTCTTTCTTTCTTTGAATCTTTCTTTCTCAGCTCTTTTACCTTTTTTTCTTTCTTTCTTTTTTTTTTCTTTCTTTTCTTTTTTCTTTTTTCTTTCTTTTTTCTCAATTTTTTTTCCTTTCTTTCTTTCTTTTTTTTTTTTTTTTTTTCTTTTTACTTTTTTTTTCTTTCGTTTCGACTCTTTTTCTTTCTTTTCTTTCTCAGCTCTTTTTCTTTCTTTCTCAATCTTTTTCCTTTCTTTCTTTCTTTCTTTCTTTCTTTCTTTCTTTCTCCGCTCTTTTTCCTTTCTTTATCCATTTTCTTTATTCTTTCTCCATCCATTTTTTCTTTCTTTCTCCTTCCATGTTTTTAGTATTTTTCTCACCCTTTCTTTCTTTCTTTCTTTCTTTCTTTTTTTCTTTCTCTCTTTCTTTCTTTCTTTCTTAACCATTTTCTTTCTTTCTCCATTCACTTCCTTTTTTCATCATAGGTTTCATTTCTTTCTTTCTTTCTTTGGACTACACCATTTTTTTTTCTTTCGTTTTTATGCAAGTATTCTCTCTAACTTATTTTATTCTATTCTTTTTTTCCCCCGTTTGTTCCCTTCCTTATAAATATCGTTATTTGCTGTTACTTCTTGGTTTGTCTTCTTTTATTAAAAAAAATATTTCGGCAATTTCTCTACATTTACAAAATTATTATTAAATTTACGTCATATTTCAAAACCCGAAACCTAAGTTACATATATCACGAAAGCTTTATTTTATTCCTGTACTACGCAGTGGTCACCTGACACCATACTGAATAAATCTAGTCTTTTGAGATTGGGGTGGGGACGTTGGAATTAAAAAAAAAAGAGAATGATGTATTAGTCAATAATAATAATATTATAATAATAAAGAAGAAACTTGAGATTTGGTTCTACAGAAATATACTGAGAATACCATGAACTCAACATGTGAGTAATGAGGAAGTTTCAAGGAAAATGGAAACAAAAAGAATTCAGAATTTAAAAAAAAAGACCGCTGAGTATTCAATGGGCGGAATATTTTTAGGATACTGAGAATACGAAAATCGGCAGAGGTTTGAAGGAAAGTCATTTCGGCAAGAGAAAATAGGGAAAGTAAGCTTGGAGAATTTGACACTCACGGGACTTAGTGAAGGGATAGATGGAAACTGTGTGTAACTTTCAGTGAATCATCAGCCGCAGTGGAAGTGGCGTTTCTTGGGCAAGATAACCTGATGGACTCCAACCCTCTAGGCCGATTTTAAATTCAGAGTTTTCCTTCTCCTAGACGGGTTGCTGCCACCCAAGCTCGGGGTAGCGGAAGAGGATTCACACCTTTGCTAAGGTAAGCACGTAAGTGAATGTAATGGATCCGACAAGAATTCGAACTAGGTTCACCGATTCCTCAACAAAGCCGTTATCCATTACTCAACTTACTTCCTTGTTACCTAACAAGTTTGTGTAAATGGATGGCAGAATAGGGACTACGAGGGATGGTAGGGAAACAAATATGACTTAGAGCTACAATGGTTGGGAAGTTGTGGAGTTCCATGATCACATAGCACATAGGCGAATATTATTATTTGGGTGGAACACACCTATTCTATAGTTAATAGACTCTCCCACCTATAATAAATAGGAGTAGTAAGAGTAACGAGTCAGGCAGTCAGTCAGTCAGTCGATGTCGGACGACAGGTAGTTGAATACGAAAGTATCAGCGAACACAACCTGATTTCTCTGCGTAATACCTATTATATCAAGTTCCTAGCGTTTTGTACGTCGAACCTATTTTAGGACCGATTTAGTACAAATACAAGCCTCCACTGCGAAATCACTCCACAACATTATTACCCTAAAATGCGTCGTCACAGTCGTAATTTCAAGATTGAAAATATGTTTCCAAAAATCAACTCATATGGTGGTTATAAAATGTAAACCTTTACCACCGAGTAGTAAACACGTGAGATAGCATTCCAAACAATTACTGTACATTATTACTCTCTCTTCATCAGGTTGCCAAAATTATATCGTACTAAAAGCTGTTTGGTGAACATATTTGGGATATTAAGGCAGAAATGAATATAAAATATTAAAATAGTGTTGAAACTTGACTAATGCATGGAATAATAATGTAACACAAAATGTACTTAGAACAAAATGTATTGAAACAAGAAAGTGTACACAATATTTACATATAGTCTTTTGTATATTCCTGGTAAGACCGTTCCTGGAGAATGTGTTGACTGAGTCGCAGTTGGGCAGAGTCTCTGGTTGAATCTCTTGATTCCTCCCTCTCTTCCCGGTACCAACCATATTTATATGGTCGGTACTCCACTATGCAAATTAGGTGGATCCTACCACAACAATTACTTAATTTTAAAATTTACGGTTACTCATACATCACAAATTTTTTTAGTAAATTTCAAATATTTTAGGTTCAGTCAGTTATATTGCCATGTGATATACGTTTTTAGGCGAATCATGTATCTTTTGATACATGGGTGAGGGGGAAAATTTTTCACGTAGTAGATTGCCATTGCTTTCTGCGGTAGACCAGTTGTCATCCAACTATAGAACCCGGTCTATCCTTCTATTTACATATATTATATATATTATATTTGTATATGTCATCAGTCTTCTTTTTTTTCTTTCTTTCTATTTTAATAATCATCAGTTCAGTTATGTGCCATGCGTGATACCCGATTAGGCGATCATGTATCTTTCGATACGTCACTGACGAGGTAGATTTTTTTTTCCCGCAGTAGGTTAACATTTCTTTCTGCGGTAGACCAGTTGCCATCCAAAGCTATAGAACCCGGTCTGTCCTGCTATTTACCGATAGAGTTGGGGGAGAAGAAGAGGATTCATACATTTCCCAAGGATATTTGTATGTAAGTGAATGTAATGGATTCGACTGGTATTCGAACTCGGCTCTCCGATTCCTCAATACGAGCTGCTATTCATTACTCCACTCCAAGGTTAATAATACTAAAAACTTGTTATTTTAATCACAATAAGACTTTGTATGATGACATTCAAAATCTTGCTCCAAATATTGTTCATCATCTGATGTAAGCCTAAGTTTTGTTCCACTGGTAGGCATAGTTTTAAATCAGAATTCTGTGCTAAAAATCTTGAGGTCGACTTATACGCCAGGTTAACTTGTACGCCGCAATTTACGGTATTATTATTATTATTGTTGTCGTCATCATTTTTCTTCCATGTTCACCCTATCTGGTGATCATCATTCTAAACTGAGTAAGACTTCACCTCCATTGCATCTTTAAGTATTTGAGCTGAACTTTTTTAATAAAATATAGCAATAATAAACATAAGAATGAATGGCGGTCATTATCTAAAGAAGTAAGAGGGTACAAATGAAAAGTTTTGATTGATCGATTCGTTTTCTACGGGTTATCAAGCCTTTAAAGTTTATTTAAAGCTAGAACATATTTTTAACAACTTTTTTGTGAGATGATAATGGTTTAGTGCTAGAAGTCTTATTAATTGACCTATAGATAGGGGAATAAGCGGTGGATTCTTACCTTTTCCAACGTTATTTGCGCGTAAGTGAATAAAATGAATCCGACTGGAATTAGAACTTGGCTTAGTGATTACCAATTCCGGGGCATTATCCATTACACCACCCGCACATCCAAGCTATCGGCCCTGCTATTCGCAAGGGGTAACCTATCTATTCAGGCTCTGTTGAGTTTCTTCAACACCCATAGAAAACAAAAATTGGTTTATACTGCAACTTAGCTGAGCAGGCATTAGCTGCAGTTTAGCGATGTGTCCTGTCAGGTCTTCAGACCGGTTTGAATTCAGAGTTGACCATCTTTTATACTACTTGTCTGCTACAGCTAAAGCGACCGTTCTTCGCTGCTATTTTACCCAAAGCTGACATAGTGAGCGGAGATGGATTCATATATTCATATTTTTTTAAGCATTCAACCCCAAGCAAGGCGGGAAGCAATGGGTTACAGAGAGTTGGAGCGAGAATAAAGAGAAGTGATAGAGGAAAGGATGAAGAGAAGGATAGGGGATATATCAGGGCATCTGGAGACGTCGATTGACATTACATTTGAATAGTTGGAGATTATAGCTATCAGAAAAAACAAGAACTCGGGAGGGAGTTCCACAGGCGAGTAGTGCGAGACATGAAGCTATTGGAGTAGAAGAGATGGCTACATTTAACAGTTTCGACAGTGAAAGGGTGAGAGCGAGATGCCAGTTTAGTTGAACGCTTAAATTCATGAAGTCTGGGAACCAGCGAATGCAGCTCATCGGAGCAGTTACCGTGAAAGTATTTGTAAAAAAGACAGAGGGATGCGATGGCACGTCTGTGACAGAGCGGCTGCAGACGTGTTCCAAAAGATTTGTATACGACCAGGATTCGAACTCACTTTATAAAGAAAAATAACAACACAGAAATAAGCTGGCTATATAAAAAAAATAGTGTAAAACTGTTGATAAGTAGTCGATGATATACTCAACAGTAAAATGTATCTTAATTTCTTAAAATTACACATGAAACCAAATATAATAAAGAAAAATATGGCAATATGATGGAATATATCACGTACAACAAACAAGACGATGCCATTGCAAATGACCTAATTGAATGACCTTCATGTGCGAGTGGCCAAAAGTGGAATCCCTCGGAAGAAGACTGAGAGATACCAATTACCGGCTCCCTAATGTAAAAGGAACACACTGAAGGTCAAGATCGATGGCCAACATGAACGAGAAACAACTTCCGGTTACACAGCCGTTTCTTTGATCGTCAGCGGAAGTGAGGACAGGTTTATTGAGTAAACATATCTGTTTTCTAACTTGAACATGTGTAGAAATCTTTTTAAAAATATACTGTCATTTTTTTTCTATTAATGTAATTGTTTTTCTTGTTTTCACTTATTGTTCTCAGTTACCTGACGCATATTCACCACGCACACACACACGCACGATCGCTCGCGCGCACACACAGATACACACACAGAAACACGCACAAATACACACACGCGCACACATTTTTATATTTTTATATATAACAAAATAAAAATACAACTAACTTACACGGTACAACAATTTCACGTTTCATAGCATTAAGCTTTTAGGGCTAACACTAGAATATAGAATATGCAATAATTAAATTATTTGTATATATATATATATATATATATATATATATATATATATATATATATATATATGTGTGTGTGTCACGAACTAAACTGTTCAATAAGTAATGTCTCAGTTGTTATCCCGAATATTTGCACGTCGGATCAATTCATTTAAATCAAATATGTGGTGCAGTTCAATTTATATTACAATGAATCATCCATACAAAACGTAAATTAGTAAAGTTAACGATATAAAATGGCAAAATCCCTTCGCAAACAAAATTTTAAAGTTACATTAACCTACAAATCAGCCGATGAATGTTATGATCCTTTTTTTCTAAAATTATAAGCTGTATAAGGTCTTTCTTTAATACGCTAATACTGTAAATTCAGTCATCTTCAGACATGGAAATTATTTTGTTTTTTGTTAAAATCCAGATGGCAGTGTGATAAATATGGCAACAAAGATGAGGACAAAAGTCCG